GGGTTTAGGGTCTAGGGCCTAGGCTTTAGGGTTTAGGGTTTTGGGTCTCGGGTGTAGGGTTTTTTTCTGCCTTTTTGGGGTTTGGGGTTAAGGGTTTCGACATTTTTTCGCGGGATCCTATGCTTTCTTGTTTTATTGAAGGGTTTAGGGTCTATGGAGGATGTAGTGGTTTCAGTGCTTTATGTAGGAATTGTGATTGGGATTTTGCAGGAGTTTATATCGTGTTTCGTTCAGTCTTTGTGTTCTTACATGCCATGAATCCGAGAGGGGGATCCTGACTGTGGCTCAGACGTTTGGCTTGGTTGTTCAGAGTTCAGAGTTCAGCAAGGTCAGCATTTCTGCTTTTGGTTCTCGGTATCAAACCAGCAACCATTCTATAGCTGGAGCACCTATCCTTTCATCAACTTATTCGGTGTAATATAGGGGCCTTAATAATTACCTATAATATTTTGGGGGTTCCTTAGTATAAGTATAGTATAATGTACCCACAAGCCCTATTCTAATTACTAAGGCCCCTATATTATTCAAACCCATCCACGAGACACTTAGAGCTCACAGACACCGGAAGGAAGGCCGCAACCGGCATAAGTCGACAGTGATACCCACAGAAACGAAACCTACGATGACTGAGCCGCAAACCCAACCCTGAGCTTCAGCCTAAACCCTACCTGGACCCTAGAGAATCTTCTCTTTTAGGGTTCCTTGTTATGATTTCTTTATATAAGTCCGCAAAAAGGTAGGGCCGGGTAAACCCTGAACACCTGGCATCCCTGAAAACCCTGCCGTGGCAGCTGACTGGGCCAGGTGAAGCTCCCGAAAGCAGCAACGCGGCTGCAGCTATCAGGGTTCTTCAGGGTGAGAGAATTATCCGAATTTCAATGGTTCTTTAAGGTCTTTGCTAGAGCTTTATTACGAGTTGCTTGAAGGGTTGTGTATGGGTTTACAAGGTTTTTAATGGCCTGTGCCCAATAGAGGAGCCCCAATGCAAGCCGCCGCATGACACATTTGTAGTCCCTGCAAGAGTACAGCCTAAACCCTACACAAAAGGCATGTCCCATGTTTCGGCGCTATGCCGCCCTAACTCCCAAAATCCCTAAGTCGAGATGCCCGTGCCTCGTGCTGCATAGCGTCGTCGGTTGTATCGGGATTCGAGGTAGGGTTTCGGATCGCCAGAGCTCCCAATATCCAAAGGACTTTGAGACTGAATGCCATCGAACCTAATGCGGATGGTTCTGCTTATGGACGCAAATTTGACATTGTGCCTTCGCCGCAGACTTTGATGCAAGGTTACCCTATGTATGCCAGCCAACCCCCCGCTCGCAAACACCTGTGTCGTCTACAGACTTGCGATCCAGATGGGCTCAGATCATATCGAATATGGGTATTCTGTTGCCGCAACAAATGCGCTTGGAGCTAGACTGGTCTGTTATATTCATCAATTCTTCCTAGCTGCTGACGGCTCTTGAGGGCAGGAACAGTGTTGTCGCTGCGTGGCGTGGCCCACCAGCGCAATAACTTTATGCTTGTACTGTGTCTGCCAGTCTTGACTTTCATCTTGCGAATGCTCAAGCAATTGCAAATGGTTCGGCGTCGCAATATTACTGTTCGGGTTCCTTATTACAAATGTTCTATAAAGGAGCCCATAACCCTACTCTAAGTATTAGGGCCCCCAGGAGATGTTGGTTCTCTGGGTTCACGCGTTTGATCAGTTGAGTGGCTGCGTTCGAAGGATTTCAGTTTAGGTCCGCAAGCCCTAGCGCTCGCCTTGGTAGCGACAAGTTTTGTCCCAAAACTTCCACAACCCTAAATGTCAATAAGCCCTTAACCTCAAATATACATGAAGCACTAGAAATCCTAGACCCTTAGCCCTAAGCCGTAATTGTTTTCCGTTCGTTCAGGGTTTCGGGTTTTGGGTGGTAGCCCCGCCTGTCTCCAGCTACCAACATCGGAGCCACAAACCGGGTGCTTAGAGATATGTTGGGTCTCGGCTGACCGTGGTTTGGGGGTTTGGGTTTAGGGGTTCAGGGCTTGGGGCTACCTGGACCCCAGAAAACCCTCCCTTTTTAAGGCTCTGTGGAAGGAGATCACAACAAGGAGCCCCACAAAGGCAGGGTTTATAGAATTTATGGTTTACGGTCGCTCCCGGCCGAGGTCTTGCCATCGCAAGTGCGGGCCAAGTTTTCTCGGAAGACGCACCAGATCAATGTGACGATGCCAACCGAGTAAGCCGCTTCAGGATTAGTATTTAGGGTGTAGGGTTTAGGATAGTACTCCATGCTTACTACCCCAAAGCCCACGGCAAACCTAAATTCCAAGCGGAACCCTAAGCCCAACACCCTAAGCCCTGAAACCTAGAACCTAAGCCCGAGACCCGAAGCCCCAAAGCCTGAACCCTAAAGAAGCCCCAGAATCCTAAACCGTTTAGGGTTTAGGTTTTTCCTGGGCCCTAAAGAACCTAAACCCTAAACCCTACCTTTTTAGGGTTCCCTATCATGATTTCTTTATATAGGTCCTTAAAATTGGTAGGTTATTTGGGGGTTAAGGTAGGGTTTAGGGTTTAGGGTCCAAAACCCTCAACTGTCAAGGCCCTAGAGGCCCTAAAAAGTGTGAAGAATTTGTGCGAATTCGAGACAGCATCGCGTAGTTCGTGGCCTTCCCAAACCGGGATGGTGGAAACCGGCCAGTAGCACATATAAAGAATGGTTTAGGGTTTATGGGTTCAGGGGTTTAGGGTTTAGGGTTTAGGGTGAATGTAGGATGTGTTGCGGTTGGGCTTTAAGGCTGGTTTCGGTTGTCAGAGCTTATTGATTTAGGGATTGGGGCATTACGGTCGTTGTGGGTCGAAGGGACGACACCAGGCGCCTAAGCCCTAGCCTAAACCCCGTGTCTTAAATCCTAAATCCTGAGCCATGATCTGTATTACATTTTAAACTCATAAACCCCCTTAATTATGGAATCTACCTTAAACTTAGGAGCCCAATAGGTAAACTTTAAACTCTTTTGGTTTATTAAACCCATACTAAAAGAAAAGTTTAAGCTTTCTTGGGCCAGGGTATTGAGCTTGAAGGTAAATTATAGGGGCCTTAAGATTATGATTTAAGGTATATTCCTTAATTGAGGGGTATTGGGTTCTCTGGGTCTTTGCCGGGAGCAACAGGGAACGCAAGGATCTTCTGACAGTGGTAGGGTTTAGGGGTTTAGGGTTTAGGGGTTTAGGGGTTTCGGGTTTAGGGTTTAGGGTTTAGGGGTTTAGGGTTTAGGGTTATTTAGGCGTTTAGGGCTTTGGGTTTCGGGTTTAGGGTTTAGGGTTTTGGGCGGGTATTGACGGCCCACATGATGGTCCTTTTTTCCCATGTAGCAAAAGGGGCCACAATATGGTAGCATAGTGATATACGGACGGTACGGGGATAGCGGGATTATGTCACTATTTGTTGGGGCTTACCTCGTTCTCGCGCCGGGCTTCTACCACTAGCCAACGTGCACAGACAGAGACAGAGCTCGCTTTCTGCAGGAAAGTGGTAGAAATCGCATGCGAGGCATGGGGCTTGAGGCTTGTACTTTTGGGCTGTCGGATACTTGCTGTGAGCCCCTATCTGTCTGTAAGCCACACCGCACACTCCCACAACAAAGGAAACCCTGAACCCGAAACCCTTCAACCAAAGCTGTGACCCACAGCCCCTCAGCCCGAACCCCCCCCCCCCAAGTTTTAAAGGCTTTAAGAGCACATGGGAATAAGAGCACATGGGAAGTCGAAGCATGCTCCGTCAAAAATCACAACGATGCCATCAATTCTGACTGAGCCTTGGATAGCTAAACCCGAAACTCTCCAAACCTAAACCCTAAACCGGCGCGCGATAACGTGGTCACTGCCAGCCAGCAGACTTGCCCAGGGCTTCGATGCTTAACTTTGGTTTTGGAAAGCTGAGTGGTAGGGTAGGTAACGTTTAACCTTTTTTGCGGGTACTATAACACACCTGTTAAGACCCACAGCTTAGCCTTTAGTTGCCTTAAGATACTTGACAAGCAAGGAAAGGTTCATCCGGGATTGCAGGCTAGGGTACCTAGGATTGAGCTTAAGATTTAAGTTTAAGGGTTTCGGGCTTATGTAGTCATAACATACCCTGTCCAATTTTGGGGGCTTCAGATGGCAGAACAGGATGTGTGGGGTGTGGGCTTAGGGTTTAGGATTTAGGAGCTGTTAGTTGCAAGGTATATCGGTCCAGAGCTTTGGAGTTTGTGCTTCATTTGGCAGCAGGTTAGTAGAGGGATTAGCCACAGACAGGGTCCGTGAACAGGGGCCGCAGAACACAGCCTGGGTCTCAATGTCCCCGAAGTACCCTGTGCGCTTTACCCTGCACCCTAAACCCTTACCCTAAGGCCCAAGTAGTCCTTATTTATGGCTTTAGGTACCCAAAACGGCTCCAAAGTCCTTAAATAATGGGTACTTGGACCCTTAGGGTTAAGGCCTCTATCGTACATTCTGCATGTCGGTGTTGGCTTTCCGCCTGCAGTTTTGGGCTTGGGCAGAAGCTGGCGCATCCGTCTTGCAAGAACTCTCTTAGGGTTCAGGGCTTAGGATAAATTTGGACTGCCTAGAATGGAAACTTTCACCGCGGTAAGCGAGACTAAAACTACATGTCCATTAAATCTCATGGCTTCCACCGCAGAAGATCCTCGAAACGAGAAGGCTTTAGCCGAAGGCGCAAACCTTCGATACCGGAGTGGAACGGAGCTCGCACCACTCCACCGCCTCCTGCGTGGGCTGTGACCTTCCCTGGCAAACATGGATTGGGCCCGGGTCCTTAGCTTCTAAGGGCTTTAGGCGGGACCCTTAATAGGGACCCTTGTAGGTTATTGGGGTTAATCTGGAGACTACCTGGCTA